GAATATTGATTACAACTAGGCAGATTTAATGCCAAATATTTGGTTCATTCACCCTCATCTATGAAACTGCTGCAATATCTTAAATAAGGTTATAAATCAGTGATAAAGAACAATTAAAACCGAGGGTGTTAGCTCAGGCTTGAGTAACCTACTGGAAGTATTTAATGAATAGGATTTTAGTGAATCATTTTAAATCATACAGCACTCTAATATTTCTTGAGATGCAAGACCACACATCCCTCTCAGTCATTTCAGGTCTATTTAATTGCAAGACAAAGCACACACGTCACTGCAACCTAAATTTACACCAGACACTGAAACCTGAGCATGTAAGTCATAGTCAAGCCTGCTCACAGCACTCCGCACAGCATGAACCATCAATCCCCTAGAAAGATCTCCACTAATGAACAGGTTCAAAACTTTTAGACCGTTTAAAACAAATTTCAAAGTACTTCAGTGAAGTTAGCCACAGAAACACTACAAAATAGCTTCCTCTCATTAGGACAGCAAATGATGTGGTATGTCAGCAGATTCAGCAGAGTGAAGACAACCTGTGAGGTGCTTTGGGTAGCACATGGAATTAAGGATTTTTTTAACCCACAGCTTCAATAACTAAAAAAGAAAGTATTGACTTTTATTTAACTTCAAAATAAATAACTTCTCTATTTTCTCTGCCAGAATGCCAGCTTTGCAACATGTCTCCAAGGAAAAATTCTCTCTTTAGAGCTAGCAGGCTGCCCAGAGCAGCTTTCTTCTCTTGGACAGAAAACACTGCTGCAGCAGGAGCAAAGAAGGCTACCCCTAAGGGGAAACACTGTTACCAGAGCCAGCCAGCTTGCTCCCTTGCTGCTTCCTTCCCTCCTTTGGGTATTTTCTATCCTTCTATCCTGCTATCCCATAGGGGATTATGTCCTCACTTTGGTGCATATTAAATTATGTTTCCTTGATCCATTTACTGTGCAAAGTCCACATCACAAAGAGCTATCACCCTCTGCTTCTTGGCATAGACTCACTCATAATCTCTAGTTAGGGAGATTTACCTTTGTTTCTTCTTTCCTCCTTTTATAAACATGTACATATCCAGGTCATAATATGTCAGTTTATAGTGTTTATGTGTTTGAGAACACATAATTTCATTGTATATAATATTACTGGATTGCAGGGCAAGCCAGGTAGCGGAGACAGAATCATGGCACATAAAATAATTTCCCACCACAGTATTCAAACAGCAGGCTCTTCAAGAGTCCAGATTAACTCTAAGGAATCTGTGAGTGCTACTTAAAGCAGTCCCCTGTATGCTTTTGCTTGTTACAGTGTTCCAAGCAGTCAGCAAACACACCTGAAAAGTTTTAGGGGTCCATAAAACAAGGAATGGGGGCACAGAGAGGAAGTCAGAGCAATCTTAAGAACTTAGCAGTTTAGTATTTTTTCAGGCTGAAACAGAGATTCAAGAGCAGAAGACAAGTCTGACAGTATGCGATACATTTGACAAGTTGACTGAAAGAATAAATGAAACCAAGAAAAAATATTATAGGTTTAATCTTAGTTCTCAAAATAAATAATGCTTAAAATTTAACAAGTATAGCCCTTGAATTGCCAAATGCAACAACTGATTTCATACAATTAGCATTGGAAACAAAGTTTGTAACCAGGGAGTACTTACAGACTTTGCAACATCAATACTGCTAAACAGTGTTAAATGCACTTTAAAAGAATAATTTCCATAATGTTAACACAACAGCTAAATACTGCCTATCTGCTAATGGCTCTATGCACATAGCTGACCTTCTTTTTATGCATAAGAGCATTATACTTCTAAATAAGTCCCATGAGTTATATCACCAGCTAAAAATCCTGATATATCTAAGTAAAATTCGTAAATTGAGCAGCCAGTGAGTACCTCTTAAAAAATGAGCTCAGAAGCTCATAACAAAATTGCAACATCTGCCAAGGTCTTTCACCTTATCCAAGGCTTCTCCTTTTATACAGCAATGCAGAGAACAAACTTTTCTTTTTTATCTGTTGTCACAAAATGATGGAGACAGAGTACACATGTGGCCAAGGGCCACAATAAGAAAGGGAAACAGTGGAATTGAGCCGTTAGAAGGATTAACACTGTTAGAAGGATTAACACTGGATGTGTCCCACTTCACATTATGATCTACCTTTCACTGTTAGGTTGGGTACCACGTACATACAACAACAACAAAAAAAAATGTTTTATGAAAATCCCACAAATCCCCTTCCACTCCATCATCAGTTTAAATAAACCCTGCTCCTTCTGACTAGTTCCTTTCCCTTGTTACAAAGATGGATGAGCCAACTCCACCTTGTAATCAAAGGTCCGGGCACTACAACACCACACAGATTACTCGGAGCCAGCCTAACACCTCCTCTTGCTCCTTCTTCCATTGGAGGGACTAGGGTAGACACAAGGATGAGAAACCAATGGCATCTTTAACAACAGCTACTCAAAAATTAAAACTGAACATAATGTTTCCATTTACAAAACACATCCTGAAGCACAGTGATCACAGCAAGCAGGACTATTTTGCTGCCAAATGAAGCCTAACACAAGAATAGTGAAATTGCAAAATCAATCACACATATTAAAAGTATAAAGGCAAACTGAATTTAATCTTTGTGGGCATACTCATAAACCTCCAGTTAGATGACCACATACCAATGTTTGCACAGGACTCCTACCTTACTTAACACACAGAATAAATTTTTCAAAAAACCCCTCTAACCAATGTAGCAGAATATACACTGTATGTTCATACTTAAAAACTTCTATCCAGAAAATATACAAATGGGAAAAAAAATACAAAAAGTGTTGCACATTACCAATTTGGTTTCAAGATGCACAAAATAAGGTGCTGAGATATACATGTGAAATAAAAAATGCAAAATGTCTGAGTTTTTCTATGTAATTTCTACTATGTGCATTTGTATAACAAAACATTAAAAGTTAATACGGCTACTGATAGAAACCTACATTCTCTTATTCTTACTAAAAATAGAATCCTTACATTTAAAGCATTCCACAATTTATCAACAATTTTCACAGTAACTATGGTAATAAACCCCACACTACGGTATGCATTGATCAAGACTCTCTCCCACAGTTATGCAGAGCATGCTCTGCATTTCTACTTTCTAAAAATTACATATTTCACTACCATAAGCATTTCTGCAGGAGATGATTTAAATATAATTTAAGTTCTTAATGATACAGATCTTGAAACTTTTCATTTTTTTGGTCAGAGCTGCTTAGAAGAGTAACTAAATATTTCATTATTATGCCCCCAAGTACAGGATGCTTCAGGTGATACAAGGTCTTCCACACTTGCACACCAAGTACAAACCACTAACTCTCACTGCAGTTCATAAACACTGAATCACAAAAAGTAATGTCTGACTTGCCTGAAATAAACTAACCTAAAAGGTTATCCAGTGAGGCTACAAATTACTTTCTAAATCACTTGTATTTTTCATACAATTTCTTTTGTTTATTCTTTTACCTCAAAGTTTCACCTTTTACCATTTCCTGAACAAAACTTTCCAATATACAAAAACAGCATGAAATCGTCTGTATATTTCAGCATGACAAAATTGTAGAAGCAATAAGAAAGCTGTGGGAACACCATTCTTTAAATAAGGCAGAAATCTTTTACTTCACTTTGTTTTTAAAATAGCAATTTCTTTTCTACATGAAACTGAAATTTATTAATAAATATAAGCTACTGCCTGGCAGTGATTGTGCCTGGGCAGAACCACTCTGGCCTAGAATAACAGGAACAGAAAGTTCATTCCAGGACCATCCCTGTTTCCAGAGTTCTCAGACAAGATGGCAACCTGCAGCAGTCTCCTCTCAGTAGAGAAGAGAGTGCAGGTAGTGGTCAGATTACTGCACAACTGCTCATCTTTCACAAAGACAGCTGATAAAACTAGTTCATACACTTCGCTACATACTAAAGGAAAGATGCTGGTTATAAATGCAGCTAGTGGGCTGATTAGCATTAAGGTCATGACAAGTGCCCTGTGCTGTTAAGTAATAGCATACAAAAAAAAAGATTTAAAATACCAGTTGGAAAAATAAATACTTTGCTTAACGGGAGGCTCCCCTTGCATGCATATAAGTTCAGAAAAACATCTTGATGAACCAGATGACTATTTCACTTGTATCTTTTTTCTACAGAAATATAGCTGTGAGATAGTAAAGGATACACCAAAAGAAAAAAAATCACAATATGCAAATACCAAATGTGCTCTACAGAAATAATAATAATTAAAAAAAAAACCACACAAAACCACCCTTACTCTAACACTGTATTTAAAGATTAAATGAAAGCAACATTTCTCAGAACACCAAGGACAGAAATATCCGAACTATAAAGCTACTCTCCAGGGAAATGAAAGATTTACATGAATACTTTCAATAAGCCTTTATAACCATGCTTTGCACTCTCTCTGATACTGGCTCAATTCTTAATTGCAAAAGTCCTTTTGAAAGTAAAAACGTTTGAAAGTTAAATTTTTTTAAAGATCATTTTGTTATGCTTTCTATCGAGAAATGGTTCATTATGTATTGCAATTCTGTTCCCAGTGCTATAAACTGCAGTTCAGCATCGAAATTACAACTGAAAGTGGCAGCTATTTAGAGAGGTACAAGCGAATTAGTAAGTGATAAGAATTAAAACTGTCAAAATTTCCCAGGTATTCAACTCCTATTATTCATAAATTAAAGCAAGTACAAGGATATTCAGTATAGCAAATAAAATTACTTTATGCTAACTAACTGCATAAAATGATAAAAGCTTAAGTCACACCACTTATCTTTTTGGGAGTATTTATGACCCCTGATACACATACACAACACATCTGACTTCAAGTGAGTATTCTACTAAGGGCAGAATTTTCTCTTTCTCCTCCTTCCTTGGAGCATGCCCTATATAAAATCATTATGATCCATGAGCCTTACTGTAAAGTGCACTTACCGGTGCTGGATTATCGTTACTTTCAACACCAAAAACATCCCGTTGTTTCACTGTCAGCAAATCAAGACCTTTAGTATCATCATCGTCATCGTCATCATCATCTTCAAAGAACTGTGCAGAGTCTGAGTTTGGTACCCTGCTTGGTATAGGACCTTCTTTTTCTGCCTCTTCCTCCTCAGATAGTTCTTTCAACTCATCCTCAGACTCATCACTCTCCTCAGCATCTTCACTGGAAGAACATTCCTCTATTTCTTTCCTTCTCTCATTTTCCTTTGTTTTGTCAACAGATGTTTTTCCACTGAAATTAGTTCCACGTTTCTCCACTCCTTTTATTGAGGAGAGGGTATTTTCATTTTGCTCTGCCTCATCTGAGTGATCTGTCCCATTGGCTGCCTCATTTGCACATAGCTGTTTCCGAACTCTTTGAAGAAACCTCACACGAGGTGCCATTGCAAGACCAAGTGACCTAAAGCATGAAATTAAACAAATAAATTAATTTAAAAGGTAGATACACGAAATTTTACTAAATCAGAATCCGTCATTGATGGTTCAAGTAATTAAATTTCAATTACGATAATTCATTTTGATCAACACATTTACAAAAATTCAGCTTGAAAAATACAAGTGAATATTGGGAGAGGAAGGAATATGAAGTAACAGAACTATCAAGAAGAGTTAAAAACCTCCCAGGAAGAAAAGCAAACTAAGAAGCTGCAAAGTTGTAGATATGACCCAATTATCTATGATTCACAGTAAAATGTGGTGGAAGAAACACCAATGTAATTTGGTATTGAAGATACACGGATACCATACCAAGGACTGAGCTAGCACTGACCTGTCAGTGTGCTTCACTGCTGGTAGTGCACTCAGAACATTATCCCCACCATCTCACAGTGACTGAGAGATTAGAAGAACAAACACAGTATGGATAAAAGACTAATGGCAGAAAAAGTTGAGGGAGAGACATTTCTCCCTTAAAGGCAATTTCACCTGCTTGCACCACTCTACTGCAAGGTCTTACCTTCATGGCATATGTAACTACTAGTGCCAACAAAACTATTCTTTTATCCAGTTGGTTATGACAATTCAAAGTTACACAAATACTCATTAGATGAAGGGACAAAAATTGGGCAAAAAACAGAAATCCTGTCTATCAACCATATTGGAGAGCATTGCATGGGAACAGATTCCCTGTCTCCAACAGCTCGTTTGACTTCAGTAAACTTTGTAATTGCCCACTATTATTACACCTGACTCTGTCAAATCTAAATTGAGAAAAAGCAATATTTAAAGTCTCTTTCAGAATTCATGAGCCGTCATATTAGATGAATAAAAAAATGTGAGGGGACACTGGTACTGTACAAGGAACACACAGAGACCACAACTACATTTAAAAACACATCATACAGAACAGATAGCATTAGTATTACCTGGGGCTTGTACATACACTTAACAAAGGAATAAAGGATTTAACCAGCTACATTGGCTACATATTTACACATGCACACACACATATAAAAGACTAGCCTCTTTCAATTCAGAATACACACAGCTATACACCACCTCTCCTCACAATGCTGCTTGCTTCAAGTAGATAGCATTATTTCTTCTTTTCACCACACAGCTCTGAATAAAGAAACCTGAATTATAGCATAGGAGAAAAATCAAATCTATATTCCCTGGCAGAAGAGTCATTATAACCAGTCCATGAAGCATCAAAAAGGTACTGCAGAGCAGCAAGAGTGGACTGTAGGCCCTGGAGAGCCTTGAACTGTTAACGATGGCCAATGGGACAGAGTAGTCAAACAGAGGGGCACCCTGCTTAAGTAACAAACAAAAAAAACCCCAAATGCAACCATGGCTGTGGTTAAACAGTGCACTTTTGGTACCAACCACAGGTTAAAACACTGAAAAGTGGGCATGCACACGAAAAGCAACCCACACTGTTAGGATAAGAAACAAATAAAGTTTATTTGTAATGTAAAAATTTTGGTTTAGTATTTCTGATAATTCAGCACTCTTATTCCACATGCAATTAACAGCAGTAACAAAGAAAACAGAGTTTTATGAAAAAAAAAACAAAGGAAATTTTTATGCAGTGTATTTTGCACATTTACTTGCAATGCACTGCTAAGAGCTTTGGGAACTGAAATTAGAGAAATGATCTTCAACTTGTTTTAGTGTTTGACAGCAAACACTACATACATTTGCAATGAAAGGATGTGTTAAAGTTTGGCCTATTGACTAAGTGTAATGCAAATAACCAAACAAAGCAGATGCAATGCTTCACTGCAGCAGCTGGAGGCTGTTCATGGAGGCTGTTCATGGAGGCTGTTCATGGAGGCTGTCCATGTTCCATGAACATGGAATTGGGCCTTAACACTAGGCACAGTAAAACACACATCAAGAGATTGTTGCATTAAATCTCTTCAGCAAGGGGATCGAAGTTGCAAGAGGCAAATCCTTTGCAAGAGAAACGCTTTTTTGCTCTTCCAGATTTTGCAATCAGTGTTCGCTTCTCTTTCTCCTGCAGACAGGCACAATGTACACAGAGCTGAAAACTCCAATTCTCTCAGAGCTTTTCTTCTACGCCTCCAGAGCTGCATCAAAGATCAGGGTTTGACAAGGTGAAGAAACTATTCTCTCCACAGCAAAAGTTACAAAACAGACAGGAAGAGCAGCCCATGATGTGGACGAGACTTCACCATAGGTTTTTTTTTCACTCAAACATGAAATTCCATTTGCCATACTGCCGTACTGCACTGATATCTTACTTAATAACTAAATAAAATTAATTATCAGTTAGTGTTGGCAAATTTTTCTACGCTGCTTAGCAACCCTACCAAAAAAGACCAGTGCAATCAGAATTCAAATTACTTCTGAACCAAAACAATACAGACCTCAGACATAGGGGAGACAGAAGGCATTAAGGTCAATTTTATTTGGTACAAAAGTAATAGTAGATAAGCTTAGACAAAGTGCATGCAATAATCCCCAAATACTTTTAATTACATAGCTTCTCAAAGAAATGTCAGCATTTAGGCTCATTACTGCCTCTTTTTCACAGTATCTTCCAAGTGGAGAACAACCTGGGACAAACACATTCTACTACTGCTAAAAGCTTCCTCAGAAGCTTTTTGTAAGATTTGATGGTTTCTTTAAAAATTAGTTCTTAATCATTTGCCAAATCTATAGCTCATTCATACTAAAATAACTCAATACATGAACCAGCTTTTCTTTTCATAAACTAGAAAGGGCAATATTAGTTTACAATAATTCATTAGATGCCACTCAGACTACAATACTACTCTAACTGAAGTTACAGCTATTTTTTGATTTTAGCACTAGCATTTCACACACTCATCTGGAATAAGAAGGGTTTTCTGATAAATATAGACAAAAACCGGGTAGGTTGTTTAGTGAGATTTCATAAATTCTAAGAGACAACACTAAAAACATACTAACACAACAATGTAGTCCTCAGACTATGGCAGCCTTTAAATGGCAACACAAATTCAGCTGCCAAACCAAGTGACAATCCTGTTTCATATTGTGGTGTGAAATGCAATGACTTCTTGAGAGCAAGCTCTTCCAGAAAGATATTTTAAATCAGCTTCTAAAAGCAATACTGAAACCAATGGATTATTTTGCTACTATAAATCGCATTTCTACTCATCAAGTGAAACTGAGGTGGCCAGACATCAGCATTCTCTAACATTAATTAGGGAATGAATAGACGTAACTAAACAAATGGCATACAATGTTCAAGTACCTCTGTTAAGTACTCAAGTAAGTAAGTAAGTTCACAGGGATTTCAGGAAATATGTTAAAAGAGTAAAATTGCAAAGAAATAACCCTGTATGGCTTTAAGGAGAATAATACTTTTGTTTCTATTGAATAAGGAGGATCAAACATCAATAAACATTTTTTTAAATTAATTTAATTAAATAGCGTAACATACTTAAAATACTGCCTTTTCTATGGTTTGTTAATTGTGCTTATCAAAGACCTTGAGTGTGTTTACATTAACATGATAAGTTCACTATGTCTCTATTTGGATGAGAGAAAAGCTGGCCATCTCTCTTAACTCCTTAAAGATTGAATCTTAAGACACTCAAAGCAAAATCTGTCCTTGCACAAAACAAATTAAACCAGAAATGTAAGACCAGTCCAATCTTTAAAGATTTAAGTGTCACAAATGTTCCTAATCTGCACCTAGAAGATTGCTAGTCCTTTTTGAAATATGAGCCAGCTGTAAAGAATCTGAGGTCACTTCTGCTGAACTGCTGCACAACAGTTTTAGACAAGTTAGTGATTCACCCTAATATTAAGCTACTACATTTACTAAATATAAGACATATTCCATTAGTGAACTTCTTCAGAATTATTTGAACACATAAAAACACAGCCCAGTGATTACTTTTACTGTAGAATAGGTTCAGACAAAGATTTAAAATAGCTTGAAAAAGGTTAAATACTCCCAGAAGCTATTTCAAGAGAAGAAGTATGTATTACTTGCCTTGCAATATATGCTACATCTATGTTTAACATTTAAAATGTTTTCAGAAGATAGGATGAGCAACCATTTGAAAACAGGAGAAATCACATCAACTGAAGTGACACAAATGTGAACTAACAGGCTTTCCAGATGGTCTGATTAATAACCAGAATGAACAGAGAAATTGCCTTTGCTGTGCTCTTTACTTACCAGCCAGCTTTATTCCTCTACATTAAGGAGCTCTAATGCCTATTCAAGAGCTTATGGGTCAGGCCCAAAGAGAAGGTGAACAAAGAGGATGTTATGGTTTCAATCTAATCACTCAAAAGACCAAGATGTAGTCTTCCTTACAGAAGCAAAAGGAATCTCAACACTGCAGTTGCAAGCCCTGGTGTTTTTGGTACCTGAGCCACCCTGACACCTGCTCAAAGGGCAAAACAGCACAGCACAAGTAACAAGGCTTTCTGGAGTACATTAAAAATCCTTTTTCCAAGTTAGCTGGCTTGGTCAACTCTGAGAGGCACTCTGCTGGAACTGCTTCTTATGCATATGCAAATACATTTACTTCTAAGGTGAGTGAAGCTTAATAGCAAGCTTGGCTGCAGACTGAGAAAAGGTAGCTCAAGATCCTAGAAGAATCTAGGAAGATGACTAAGAGAATAATGACCCTGGACTTTGAAAGAGAAGACTGCAGCTTGTTCAGAGAGCTGTATGGCAGAAGCTTACAGAAGTAGTTACAGAAGTTCAGGAAGGGACAGCTAGATCTCCAGGTGGTTGAGAGGGAGTTGAGTGAGAAATGCCCAAACTGTTCAAATGACTGCAGGGAATGCTGCAGTCCGTATGAGTAATACTATATGAGGCTGAGATTAACTAGGTAACAGCATAAGAAGTAAAGATGGATTGCGTGTTCTCATATCACCCATTTCAGTGCAGCTTTGTAAAACTGATCTGCAAGCAACACTTGCAAAACTAACTGGGTACCAAGTTGGGTATATCAGACATTTTTCCCAGTAACTTGGCTTCAACCTGCTTTATTTATTCTCTATGTACCAATACAGGGATAAACAGAGAAAAATATGCCGCATTCCTCCTGGAAGACATGATGAAATTCACAGAGGAAATTACCTTCCTTGGCAACCCCTTAGAGCTCTGACTAACCCGTCCATCCAGCACACTGTTAAGATTTGCCCATGGAGAATGGTGTGTATATATGTTAGCACTTAATAAAATAAAGTGCCTGAGAAGTAAAATATTTCACAAGACTGCCACCTCTTTACCTTGTCTCCTATCCAGGAGGCCAGACTAAGTAATTACTCCTCTTCGCCTTGTTGTTTGTTTACATTTTCTTATGTTTTCAAAGGTGTGCTTTGAAGTAAAAAAGACAAATTTCTCTTTTATGAGTTTTTAGAGTTTCTCCTTCACCAAACTTAAAGGCTGCTTATGTTAACACAAGGCCTGTGCAAGTCTTCCTGCAGTAAATTATTCTTTATAGCAATTTCTAATGAGAGGATACTGGAGAGAATAATAATGTAGCATAGCTTAAAGGTGCTTGATCACTAGTACACATATGTCTGTATATGTCTATATGCACATACAGACATGCACACACATTTTGTTTTTTATACAAATTGGATTATATATATATATTTATATATAAATATATATGTAAAACATATAAAAGTGAAAAAGACTACTGCTTTTCTGCAGATTTAATCAACAGAGCTTAAGAGAATCTTAGTGCACAGACAAGCCAGGCAAGAGAGTAACAGGGAAAGCGGAAAACAGCCTGAAATGCAAACCTGACAGGGGCATTAAGCAGCCTATTTTCTCTGCAGGATTTTTAGTGGAGTAACACGTATCAAGCTAGCAGTAAATCTAGACAGAAAGGATGAAATATTTTTTGGAAAATCCACAAGGAACGAAAAAGGAAGAAAGGATTACCATTCCAGGTTTTGCCATAAGTTTGTTTTGCAGAATGTAAAACAAGATTGCTTCTAAATGCAGAATTCAAACATACCAGACTTTGAGGGACTTTCATATAAATTAAGCTGACTGATCTATATATCAGTGGATGTGCACTGAATTGAAAGCCAGGGAACTGCAGGGTGTATTTAGGCTGACTAACAGTCTGGAGAGAAGGGAAGAAAAGTGCCAAGAAACTAAAACAGAATCTCAGAATTACCTCCCAGATTTATCTTCTGACCTTTTGATTACACTTCCATATATTTCATAACCTTGACTAAACCTCTCCTACTCTCTCCAAACAGCTAACTGGTTTCCTGCATTTTAATATAGGAATGACTTATTAGTAGCTTTGCAAAGCTGGGACTAGAAATCATTTTGATGAAGGACCAAATCCTGGCACAGAGACCCCAGAAGAACAGAACTGTAGACTACTCTGTCTACATCAGTATCAGATACTAGATGCCACGCCATGCTGAAATCCAAAAGGATGCGCTGAGATTCTGAAAATTCAGCATTACTACCATCTGCCAGATGGTTTCTTACACTGGTTAAATTTGTGTGGTCATCCCCCTTAGCCCTAATCTTCTACCACTATCCCTTACATTCAGCACAGTAAGACCTATAGGAAGATTTTAAAGATGCTGACAAACGACACAAGTGAAGAAGGGCAGGCAATGCATAATGAAATCTTTCAAGTTTATGCTAGTTCTTTTTCAAAATTTCTCAGCCTGTAAAGTTAAAAAGCATCTTTTATAATAGGCTTATGTATCTTAAAAAACATAATCATGTTAATGGTAGCACAGCACAGGAAGACCAGGTGTTCCTCAGTCTAGCAATTTGTCACATTTTAGTTCATTATGCCATGTACTGACAAGTTTGAAAACTTTAGCCTTCTCTGTATGAAATTCCACAGACATCAAATTAATTTACCATGTACCTTTGAACACCTTACTGCTCCCTTATGACTATCCTATGTCCCATGAGATTTCAAAAACTTTGCATCTTAAAACAATTTCAGGTGGCTGTCATCTGGAAAGTCAACCTGTCAAGACTAATTTCCCTCCCATACAAAATGTGGAATGTACAAAAATAGACATAGCAAAATAGATGCTATTCAGTCTAGTGCAGATGTTTAATCTTTACTAAATACACTGAATCTTCTGAAAAGTAATTTATGGCCAACGAGCAATGTCTCAATCACAACCAAAATGAGACTGCAATATATCTTCGGATACTCCAATTTCTTTTTAAATAATAAAGTTCACAGGTTGGCATTTAGCTATGAGGCTGAAGGGCAAATCTCAAGGGAAAAAAACAAAACATGGTTCTGTATCTTGTACTTCAAAAGTACTCCTCCCTCCTTTTCACCCCTCCCTCCTGTGAGTGGCTGGAGAGGAGAATTGGAGGCACAAAAGGTAAAGATCACGGGTTGAGGTAAAACCAATTTACTGGACACAGCAATGAGACAAGAAAACGAACAGAAACAGCAACAACATTAGTAACTGACATGCAGAAATGCTCACTGTGGACCCAGCAATAAGTTATAAAACTGGACAGCTCCCCCCACACACACCCAGAATGAATCCCTTCTCCACGAAATAGAGTCCCTTCACCACACCCCCAGCAACGACCTGAGGTGGTACTGGAAAACCTCCCTGTCCTGGCCATGTCCTCTCCAGGCTACTACAAAAAATTAACCCTGTCCTGGCCAGAAACAGGACCATTATTTCTCTCTATAGCAATATACTGGTTTTACACATAAAATCTATTTAGAATGTCTTTTGAAAGGATGGCATAAATGTGAAACAAAATATATCACAAGACTGTCCAATTCTGTGTGCTAACATAGTCAAAACAGGTATTTAAAGCTATCATATACTGCAAAACTTTTCACTATACACTTTTCATATTCCAAGTTAGCCATACTTACAGGGCATATTCTGCTAGAGGCAATTTGAAAACATCAAATACTTCCTTGTTCTTCATTAAATAAACTGAACGCAAGTAGGATACAAAACACTGAAAGAAAAATAAAATTATTCAACAAAAAAAGAAACCGTTCAATTACCAACACAAGAAACAAACATTACACTGTTGCTCTAAACACAAAATGGAATTTCACCATTAGGTGGTCTAACATCGATTTCAGACCAAAATTCTTTTACACAATACCCATCAGCCAAAATTTATCACTACTCCAGAAGTGATGCAACTTCAAATACTCAAATTTCATTATATGCACATTAATTGGCTGAATTTCTCAGAAGTATGTCATGTTATCTATCCTTAGAAAGAAAATACAACAAATTAGTCAGAAGGAAATATCACTGATTCAATTTTATTTTTTTCTCCCAGCTCTTCTGGGAGAAAGAATAGACTGTGTTGCTATCAATCTGAAGTGTCCTGACTTAATCTCAGAAAGAAAGAAACTCATTCAACTCAATATAACTGCCTTTCACTGTGGCCTATAACGGCCTAAGATGATTCATATTACCTTGCATTTACCATCAGCTCATCACATGCACACAGTCAATTAATGCAACTCAGCTGACCAACATAAATTCACTATACAACATCTACTAAGACCAGTCCAAGGTTGAAGTTTCAATTAATCCCAGACTTTCACCAAGAAAACTGGAAGCGCTGCATACCAGAATAACAGTCTTGTATTGCATTTCCCCATCCTTCTCAAAAGGAAAGATTCTTATTCTTCTCATGTTTCTTTTACACAGTCTATTTCTACCTATCATCAGCAGCATAAATTCTGGAATATTTTAAGTATCAGAAAAGGTTCTTGGATTTCTCTTGTTCATAACCTAATTTCTAACACATGCCAAAACTCCTACCATGATGCTTAAACCATCAAACACTCATAATAACAACAAGTTAAGCTCAGAAGGTTGTATTAACACATACTATAATCACATCTTTGTTCTGCTATGTACAGGCACCTGTTAGAGAAAATTAATGTATTAATAATTCATGCAGAATTAAAAAAAAAAATCCATTTCTTGTTCATCTCAGGTAGAGGAGGAAAGACCCAACAGTCAGGAGCATTGATTTCTTATGGGGACTCTCTAAATGGTTCTAAGAGAAAAAAACACTTCCAAAGGTGAAAATATGAGTCAGTAAATTAAGCAATGTAATAAATTCATTATTTTCTTCTCAGTAAACTGAAATAAAAACTACTAATTTTAAGATATGTAGAGTTAAGATGTACTTTTCAAGCTGCCCAATACTGCAATACAGAACTAAATTTTCATTTGCTTATTTTTCCAAGTGCTGAGTTTTCTGGGTAAATTTTCCTTCCTGATTATGTCTTTCAATTAATTTTAGCTATGGAAAGTGTGAGTTCAATCCATTACACCGCTACCAAGATTGAAGTGTGGAATAAAGCACTCTTTCTTTGCTCACATTAAATTATTAATCATTTTTACAAAGATAACTAGAATGTTTAGAAAAAGGCTTCCAATTTGACAGATCTCATTTATCTTTTGTTGTCTAGCAAGTGACAAAAATCAATGAAAGCCTCTTTTTTCTCTGCAGTGACAGATGGAATAGAGCAGATTAAACAAGAAGTATCCTTCCTGTGAATCTGAAATTTGCAGATCTGAAGACCTACATGAGTCACTACTTGCCACTACTTTCATGAGGGTTGAAATCTCATTGTCTGTTGGATAACCCATAAAGCCATCCACTTACTTTACTAGTATATATTTGGTATACATGGTCTAGAAATTAACCAGTGATAAAGGGCAGAAAGAACACAACTTTTGCACATGTATCAAGTTCTATAACTGAGAATGAACTACCAAACAAATGCATAGAAGAGTTGTCCTACTTTACAAGAAGAGAAATTATTTTCTTTGATTTTTTTTGTTTGATTTCAGTATGTTCACTTCAATCTCTGTCTAAAATACTGTCATCTCATTTGGATTTTATTCAGTTCTCCTAAGACTTGGTCAGTCTGTGCACACACACTGGAGCTAAAGGAGAACAAGTTCAGTCAGTCTGAACTCGTTTCCTGCTCTTTTATCAATTGCTGTTGTCCCCTGCTATATTTGCTCTTTTGATATCACTTTTAAGATTTTTTTAAATAACTGAACATTGCAAAAATATTACATGCATTAACTTATACTATTACGGAAAATGTTACAGTTGGGCATCAGAAACGTATTACAGCTTCATTAAAATAGGAGTTACAGGTCCCCAAAACCACCAGAGATTATTGTACAAGTACTAGAAATATGTAAGCAAAAAGTACAATGCTCTATGAATTTACCACATTTAAATTTTGAGTTATTGATCTGTTTTTTGGATAAGTATTAAAATGTACACAATTTAACTGACGTGCTACTTTTACAAAATTCAGAAGTAACAAGGTGTGACTGGAATCTCAGGCTGTAACACCCTGCATGTCCCTCTGGGTGTGATGAAGAATTTAATGGACAGATATCTCTTCAGTGCCACAATAACACTCAAACTAGCAAGAAAAACAGATTCTCTTTTTAAACTGTTTTTCAAAACTGACTGAACTGATATATTAAATACTAAAATTACAAGAAATGCCAAAAGGCAGCATCAGTCCATGAGAATAACTGCAAAGGTTTCAAAAAAGCCCTAATATGATTCATGCTGTCTTCCCAAGCAAGAGCAGAGGAACCATGTCCTACCACATGAAACATGAAGTTTGTTGAAGCAATTAGTAATCAAGAATTTTGTTTTTTCCTCTTTTTTTTTTTTAAAGTAAAAGCACCTTGAAGTAAATCAGTAAGCTTAGAGGACACAACAACTTAGACCTGATGCCCTCCACATAGTAGACTACATCCTATCTGAACTTCTGTGCATAGGTGTGCTGTTTCACTGCTATCAGATCCATTCCAGTAGGACATTTATTTCTTACATTACAAACGTCAAGAATTTGGCAGCTTGCAATAGACAGGTTAGACAGCACATGACCCACGCCTCTGAGAAATCCAGCATTCCAGATAAGGATCCAAGGCCAGGATTTCATTTGCATTAATTTTATTGGTTTTTTTGCATTCATATGTCAGACTACTGGGGCACATTTGCATAGTATGTCTGAACATTCATACTTAAACTTTATTAAGGACAGACACTTCCGTGATAAACCACTTGTCCATACTTCAAGCTTTAAAAAAAAACAAACCAATGTATATAGTTTCTCTGCAAGAATGACACTACTCTGCTATCCATAAATTAAAACCCCAACAAAAATTACTTGAAAGGGTAATTATATGGCAATTAAAATTTTTTAAATTATTTTTTTAATCTGTAATACTAACAGTCTGTGTTTGATTTTATTCTTGTGCTATTTTAAAACTTTATCATTATTTGCTTTTGCTCAATTCAGAATAATCTTTCTCTGTCTTTTAAGAGACCTTAAAAAAGTCAAAGCCAGAAAGAGAGGTTTGTCACTGTTTTCATACCAAGTAAGATGATGCTAGCTTCCTCCTACCCTCATCCTCCCCCATGCAGCTGCTCTGTCACTTCCGATACAAACTGGTGTAACTGCAACTTCCCGTGGCAGTTGAACATAATCATGATAAGTCACCAGTATCTCTGGTTTATGCAGTGCTCAGATGAGGCTTACACTGACATTCCACATTGCTACACGTAATTCTTTGTGCACTACAAAAACCTGGGATATCTAAACACCAAAAACAGTTTTTAAAAGCAGTCCCTTGAACACTGAACATTTTATTCACAGAGCTCCCAAGTGACTTCCTCAGGCACTTTGATTTAAAATTCCTTGTTTAGGAAAGTAAGAATGACATTCCTCTGTCCCACTAAGTGTCCCTACTGCAGGTGTCCAAGCTAGGTCACATCACACAGGCTACCTCTGCAGTGCAAAGAAACCATCATTCATCCACCCCAAAGGGTTTTTAAGGCATCTATGTCAGGAGGCATCATAGAAGTGCTTATTCCTCTCTAACAGCTATAAATGAATCTTCAGGTAGACTAACCTACAGAGGACATCTAAAGCTAGGCGAAATGAATCTCTCAAGAGTTTTAAATATTTCAACTTGACTCATTTGACATCTCAGTTCAACAGAAAAGTTAAAACACTTACTTTCTCTTTAAGCATTCAAGATCCACTTTTCATTTTACCCTACCACTCAGCTTTACCAGAATACCTTCAGGTGTCATCAGTCCCCACACTAGCTGATACAAATAAAAAAGTTATTAACACTAATCCCGAATCTCTGCAATCTTATATTTCTCAGGCTTTGGCATTTCTGGATTTCTCACCACCAGGCCTTTGGTAGTGCTCTTTCAATTTGACCTACATATATAAAAAGAATGTCATGAAAGGTTTTTCTATTATTCTTCCAATCATGTTTCCCCAAATCTCAATTTGAACTTCTGGTTTTGTATCGTTTGGAAGAGACTTAGTACAACTACAGAATTCATAGGGTCAACATATACACATTTCAAAAAAAGCAAGCAATAAACCAACCAAGCTCAGAAAACCAACATGTTGCAGTGCATTAATAAAACAAGTAGTAAGCTCTTTCCCAAAAAGTTCGTGGCTTAAAAATGTTATAAAACCAGGGATAGATCAGCAAACACATTTAGCAAGAGGCAGCAAAATGTCCAGAAATGTTTCACAGGCCATCTTCTGGGGAAAATGTCTTTTACAACCAGATCATTCTAGTCCAGAAGCCTACTCAGTCATTTGAAGTTTTCCTACCTTTCCGAAACCTGATAAAAATCTTTGTGACAATTCACATATTGTCCATGGAGTCTCCCAACATTAATTAGCAGAGCAAAGAAATCCCATTCACAGTCCCATTCACACACTTCTCCATCTTACCTGGAAGAGCTATTCTAAGCTATTTTGCTTCTCATTTAAATCTTAAAGTTAAAATGCTTTATTCAATGCATTGAATTTTACCACTGAGAAAGAACAAATTGTCATACATATTCAGTAAAAACTGATCAAGAAGGTGGGCGTGTGAGACCTATATGGATTTGTGCTCTTCACTTTGGAGTCAAGTAATGAGATCTCCTACTTTTCAGTAACCTTTTATCATTATTATTATTTTGAAATGTTCTATACCAGCTCCCTGAGAGAAGTCCTCTCGGAGTAGTTGTAAGTCGAGAGGAACCTCTGGAGAGTATCTAGTCCAAACCCCTGCTCAAACCAAGGTTAGCTACAGGAGGCTGCTCAAGAAGGAATCCAGCTTTTGATATCCAACATTTGGAGACTGTGCAGTCTTGCTGTGCAACCTGTTCTAGTGTTTGACCAATCTCACAACAAATGGTTTTCCCCTGGGTTTAAACGGAGCTTTTTGTAAAAAAATTTGTGCCCATTGCAAATTTGTGCACAGCAATAGGTCATGTGGCTCTTCACATGTTACCATCATGAGCCCACACTGACCCCATCTCAACTCACACAGTCTATACAGGTATACTTTCCACCAACTCCTAACACATGATTATTGTTTCTACTGACGTGTTATAAAGCTTAACAATCAGAATAATGCAGCAGTTCCAAACACTGCTTCTAGGGCATATATGAGCTGGTCAGTTATTCAAACGGTTCAGTTCAACTAGCATGCTACAAGAACTAGAGCGCAGTAGATGACTTACCCTTTGAGCTTTGTCTTTTAACTCCTGATCTTGAGCTAAGAAAGCTTGCATCCTCTTTTGGATGTCTGTAAGTTTTTCAGGATTAATTCTAATTTTTTTTAAAAAAAGAAAGAATAAAAAGTTAGCTTTAATTATTAGAACATGCCAAAATAAGCACCTATCAAGTTCTCAGGAGTATCTTCATATTTTTTGCATTGCTTTAAAATGCATGAAGTATATACCCCTCTGAAACAGCAGAGAATGGAACCATATTAAAGATGAAGCATACACTCATCAAACAGATACTACAGAAAAGACAAACGGCAGCTCAGACTTTTTATTCAGACACAGTTTTCATCGAAGATGGTGAATCTTCTTCCAAAGCAGAGCAGAAACCAACAGAAAAGAACCTGCTGATTTTATAAAAACACTGAAAAAATACAGAAGCAGCATAATGAATTATAGTACTACTTTAAAACCTATATCAAAATCTTCATAAGGAAATTGTCAGCATTTTTAAAAGCTTAAGTAAGATCTACTGTGCTGGGAATACTTAATTTAAGTATTCTTAGAAAGAACAGTCAGGTGAGCAATAATAAAGAACATTGAGATTAAACAGATTTAAGAGCTTCTCAAGATTTTAATCAAGTAAATAAAGAACAGTGACCGTACTACAGAAAATGCCATTAAACCTAGTAAAAAGATATGCAGGTCTTCTCCTGGATTCTAGATTTTTACACTTATTCCAGTGATACCTTCATTATTGCAGTTTTATTTGCCCAGATCTTTTCTCATCTACTTCTGGTTTTGATCTGCTAGTGCCATGCAAGCGTATCATATGACCTACCAAACATGGTAGGAGGTTACCCCTCTACCTCTAATACAGGTCAAAGATGCACAACTACAACATTTCTTAATCTGACTCTGGCTGCTGTGTGCCATGTCATGCCATGCTGTACACCAAAGCATAGCCTCTGCTGAAAGAGGTCACAGGAAAAAAAAAAAAAAAAAACCACAAAATCATACCTCTTCACATAGCAGTAGGTTGGTCTTAAAAATACGACTGATGAAAATAACATGCAAGGAACATTTTATAGTCTTTTTATAACATGATTATGATCGTCTATTATTCTTACTAAATATGAAAAGCATCGATATCAAACTTGATTCCCTCATGAGTTTAATTTCTTAACTCTGTTCAAATACATCCAAGGGAAAACTGCAGTGTACACAAGCTCTATTTAGCTACAGTTTTAAAGAAGGATCAAAAAACTGAGTTCCAGTTTCCAGCCAGCCTGTAATTGGCTCTAAAAATGTAAAGACATAAGAAAAGAAGAGGCATGAAAAATTGAGTGGGGGACAAACTGACCAACAAATCTTTGAAATATAATGATACAAAAAGTAAAGAAAGGATGGCATTACTAACAACAAAAAAAAATTATTGTGAACACCAGACAAGAGCTTAACAAGAACAGCAAAACAAACACTTCAATTGACAAGGATGTTTCAGAAACAAGCTTTTCAGAAAAAAGCTTTTAGAGTGAATTTCAGAAACGTGAAGAGTTAAACTCTGTTGGCAGTAAGCAATGCTCATCATCTTCTAACTCCCAAATCAGAATTCTTGAGAATCTGTAATTAAATGAATGAGCACAAACAACATCAGAAGACTTCAACAGAAGACCTGGACTGTGATCCAAGGGTTGATGCAACTTCTTCAACAATTTATAAACTGACAAAACACACCAGAGTTATATTAACTGCAAAACTGGCTAGAAGTGAACGACCTGAAAAAATCTGTAGTTAAAAACTTTGGAATTAAACTGGTTTGCAATCCACAAGCAATTACACTTATATTTTTTAAGGATTTTAGTTAGCCTCTTCCAAGTATGATGCTAAACCTTTTAAATCTTAACCGCACTAGACAGACAATTCCATGTAAAAGCATTTCCCTTCATTATGATGTTACAAGTACTATTAAGGTTTGTTTTGCAGATTGAAAAACTGTATCTTGGAGGGGGTTGTAAAATATATTATCAATCAAAAGCCCTGACTTTTCTAATAAGTATGTTCCAATTAAGAATGTTGCTTAAATGTATTTATTATACATATGCCCTTGTGGCTTGGTACAAGAATGAATTTTTGGGGTGGTGTTAAAAAAAAGCAGAGTGTTTTCCACTGAAGTCACATCAGAGTAGCAAGAATATGTTAAGAGATGCAGCCACAAATGTCTCTCCAGAGAGACATCTAACTTGAATTATAAATAGAATACGCATTTAAAGGAGGGGGAAATGAAATATTTGCCCTATTAAAATTGGATTATTATCCTGGTACAAAAATACCTATTTCTATTTACATGGATAAATACAGGCTAAAGAGGTTTTTTTAGCTTTTCCTATGATAAGCTATTGAAACAATTAACAGCATTACTTGAGAAGTTAAAAGCTTAGCTGACAAAGAAAAGGGAAATCTTTATACTATGCATAAGATCAGACATTCATTTACTGAATATAAAAATAAGATAAATTATTTGAATAACTATCATTTTAACAAGGAAAAAGATGAAGTTTGGAAAAAGAGCCAATTTGCTGCAGTGGTTATACAACAGATCCTTTTAAAGCATTATGATGCTTAAGGGAAAAGAAAATATCAGACTTCAGTTTCTTTATTGATATTTTCCACATTCAGCTGGTGAGGTTTGTTTTTGTTGTTGCTGTATGGTAGGGATTTTTTTAAACACCAATGTAAACGAAAGCTTTAAGTACACTTAGACTTTTGGTAGTTGTTTAATTGCATTCTAGTCCTTATTTTGCTGTTTTAGCAAAAGTTGTCTTATTTTTGAAGTTTATGCATGTTCTACATGGATTCAATACATGCGTTTGACCGGAAAAGGTGCGTTTTCTTCACTGGTTGCTGTGTGCTCAGTTTGTTACATAGAAACAGTATCCACAAGTGCAGTTTAGAAGTGCCTCTGAAATGGCACATCCTATACATCAAAAATGCTTTAAAAAAATAAAACTAAGCCTTAAATCTGGCAAGTGCTATATGCATTGTTTCTATTCTCTGCAGAAATGTTAACTCGCTAATTTTTAGCAGATCTGAAGATTTAAGAAATGAGGTGAAATAACCACCTAAAGTTTCACCCTAATTTGAATTCTTCTCAAATACAATTGTTCTACAGACACTTTCTTAATTATCTTCTTTGCTTAAATATCTGTATCTTCACATTAAAACCACAGCTTTTTGAAGTAAAACAGTCCTAGTTTTGCTCATACCCATTTGTATAGAAACTTACCTTTCTACCTCAACATCATTCTCTGATTTCTTCTATCTCTACAATTTTTGGCACTGTGTGACCTTCACTAGGTAAGTATTCAAAATGGAGTCAGGCTCATACCCCATTTTCTGGCTTGTTTTCAACTCTTCTTCCATGTTTTCTTCACATTATCTTTTCTCTTTCAATTTAACATTAGACTGACAGGTTTAAATAACAATGAACTCCTTCAAACCTTACAGCTGCTAAATAAGAAACTACCATTGATTCTTTCAGTGGTTGTCTTTTTTTCTAAAATTTTTAGTTAGAGATTTTGTCTTTCATACATGTCCATTTCTCTGTATTTAATATAAAACGGAAATATGCTTTTTTATTTTTACGTGGTATCGTTATATGCTTCTGCAACTCCTTCAAAGTCAGTTCTATTTGTATAGAGAGCATAGATCATTACAGTTTTTCATTAGAATGCTCTCTCTAGCACGTAAGATGACCATTTAGCCACATATTTTATTTCCTGTCCTTCGACCAGCTGATTTAGAAAGGTCATGACAAATTGGAGAAATAGTCTAGAATTAAACAAAAGACAGACAGAGATACAAAAACGATAGCAAGTATAAAAAACATAGAGGGACAGATTAAAGACATAATTGTTCAATCTGGAAAAGAAGAGAGAGAGCATGATAATGTCCAATTACATAAAAAGTAGCTGCAAAGAATAAGAGAATTCATCATTTTTCATATATTCTTGGCACAGGACAAAAGAAATACTTCACTTAATATACTTACAAAGCTTATCAGACACCAGAAGAAAAAATGTTAGTGGTAGGAACTGTTGAGTATAGACAAGACCTCTTTGGGAAATTGTGAATATATTAATTGGCATCTGATAAGAATGATTTGTGCCGCTCATCCTGCCTTTGGGAACGGCAATGGAACAGGAAACCTCTCAAGGTCTTTTTCTCCAACAACACTACCAAAACTAACTGATTTCCCTGATTTGTCCAGCTCCAGGCAATTCAAGCACTTTATCAAAATTGTCATAGACTCATCACACATTATTCTTGTAGAAAGAAGGCTGAATAACAGACAGGTCATTAGTTACTTACTTGATTTCACTGATAGGTACTTTCCTCTGTGCCAGCTGTTCCACCATGCCTTTTTCTTCTGAGGGCAGCAATACTAACAAAGCTTCACCACCTTCTTTGTATCTGATCAGAACAGGGGAGGGGAAAAAAAAAAGAGAACTCAAGCAAACATGCAAAAGTTACATTTTTTCTTGATGTTTTCAATAACCAGTGAGAATTTACATTTGCTTTCTTACAAGCAGTCCAAAGAACAGACAAAAATCCTCACTTAACAAAAGAAAAAGATGCAAATCAGTTAAGGGACTTGGCATTATCTCCACTTGAGCTCATTTCAAAACTACTCCTAGAGTCCTAAACATCTGGGGCTACGACATGGATTTAGATCAGTGATCTTTTCTTTCCTCAATTTGAAATATTAGTGGCAACCAAACGGCTTACTCACTAGAAGATCCAAAGCTTACTGCACTAGAAGATCCAGCTACTTGCATCCACCCTTTATTAACAGGCAAGGCTTAACATTGATAAAAACTGATTCTCCTTTTCATATACTGCAAGTCAAAGAAGGGAAAAGAACAACTCCTCTTTGCATGTTCAATAAAAGTTACTCTTCTAAGAGGTCACAGAGGCATCACTGAAAGAAAAGCACAGGAACAGGAGCTCTTTCATTTACAGAAGCAGTTTCCAGGTGCAAAAGAAAAGATACAATCAGACTGATCAGATAAGAACAAGAACGTATCTAGAATTCATTCTTCAGTGCACTTAACAGCTGTATCAAATGTAAATGAGCTGGTAATTACTCAAGATACATGGTTGGCAAAGACATAAAAATTCTGCTACTTTATTCTCAAAGTATCTTCTTGTTCACTTTCTTCTTGTGTAAGAAAATTTCAGTTCCTTCTTTTGGCAAATTTAGTGACTTAGAAAAAAGTACCCAATAGCATTAGTAAACAAACAACACAACAGTTATAAGTTCTACTGAAGAAGCAGTAATGATGAGCTTGCATGCATTATCAAAGTCTATATCCACTGTAACACATACACTATTTTTTCATTTATATTTACATATTTATGTTCATTTATTATAAGAGTACAGATTGATAGGACAACATTACACAAAGTCCTTCATTAAGAAAAAAAAATCCAACTAAATTTCAGAAATATGCCAAAATTGGACAGAATCTGACAGATGAGAGCAATATGTAGGACAAAGTAAAACAAGATTGGTAAGTTACCACGTAGAGCAGCTTTAAACTCCCTTTTCTAAAGAGGCCTGAGAGCACAGAAGGATGTTCTCAGGTGCACCAAACAAGAATCATACCGTTAACTGACAAAAAGCATTTCAGGTGGAATATAGGGAGCTCGCATTTCTCCAAGCATAAACAGTTGGCAAAAAGAGTACCACAGAATTGTTTGAAAACTATAAAAACTATCTGTCACAGCACAGTAAGCAATGCAAGCAGCAACAAAATCTGCAGTTAAAACAGTCTGACAGCTTTTATTACAGCTTTCTGCTTTCATTTGATGAATTTGAAAAATCACAACAAAATGCTCTTGCATGCCTGGAATTTTTTTCCCCCCAGTGTTCTCTCTGTACATGATGGGTTTGGAAACTGACTTTTAAAGATAATTTACAAATGTTTAGTAGATGTTTTCATCACGGAATTTTAACCCTTACATTCTAGATTTTGCAATTTTACAAGGAAATAAAACTGATACCAGAGGAGAGTCTCTGTCACATACCAATATCATGTAAATTTGCTGGTTATACATGGATTGGTAACAGTACTTTGGTACCATACAAAAACTGTACTGACTTGATCCATTTCATCAGCAGACCTAAAATGTTCCTAATGCAGAAATATCAGCGCGTAAAATCTTTCTAAAAAAAGGGTTCTAAAGCAACACATATGCTTGGTTTAAGGCAATTCATTATCTTTTCCAACAGCACAAGAGGATGTAAGTCACTGCTGACCAAATAACCTGTGAATGTTTAAGCTCTTTATATAATAGTATGTCGGTTGGTTGGGAATGACTTGCTTACACAGACCAAGTACACCTTTTAAGAAAGCTCTATATATTTCAAACCAACCAAATTTCACCTGATATATCCACAAGGTGGGTGCGTGTCAGACACAGCCACTACCAGAACAAGAAATGAAATCCTGGAAAGCCACTGAACCTTAGACAACTTCGCATTTCATTGTAAAAACTGATGATCATAATACTAAGAGAGCTAATTATTCATCTAAAGAATCTTAGCTCTCAAAGCACTGTTAGAAAGAAGGATGAAAATATTCTCTTTTATCTACAAGACAGGAACATAGAGATAATACTACAGCCAATACCAGTCTCATTGCTTTAGAGTACAGAATAACACACAGTTCTGCTCTTCTCCTCAAAGCAGACGATACGAAAGGAAAGGATTCCACCAAAAGTTTTGTGAATGATCTGATATCTGGAAAGAATGTCTGTTTAGTCTCCCAACAATCTTCACCATTTGTCAAGAAGAAAAGTCTTGACTGTACTATGTAAACCTCTAAGAAGGATGATTTGTTCAGATTCCTTGAAGTTAGTCAAACACATGAAGTGATTTGTGTAGTTTTGTTGCTTGTGGCATTTCTTATCCTGGAGTTTCTGACTTGGCATTCTTAAATTGTTTTGTTATCATATCTCTTTGATTCAGTGTGGAACACACTGTGAAGGGCCAGTGTCATACAAATCACAGAAGAAATATTCATCAAGGGTCAGAGTGCACAGATATCCTCTCTACAAACCACAGACCCGAACTCTGGAATGATACATACAGGAAATATCATTCTACATTTGTTTTGCTTTTATAGCTTTCCTGCAGCATCCACAAGGGCACTCTGAAAACAGGATGCAGGATCACATAAACCTTCATTCTGAACCTTAAAAGGTTGTCTTGTGTTACTACTGCTAAACTCATTATATGCTAAGTCAGTTGTCTTTTCAGAAAGTACAAATCTTAAAGGCACATCTCATAGATAATTCGCAAAAAGAAAACAAGCATTATATCTGGTATCTATGGACAACAACTATTTCGATGCTTACATTAAAACTTGCAAAGCCTTTACACAGACAAAATAGTAAGGTAGCTAAGTAAAGAAACAATCACATGAAAACAGACAAAAACATGACAGAGGTTTTCAAACACCTACCAAGAAAGAAAGGAAAAAAAAACCAAACCAACATAGAAAAATTTCTCAGAGCTATGCCTTCAGAAATTCCAAGGGACTGAAAGACATCTGGTAACTATTGATGCTGTGAAATCCTTTTCCTTAGATATTTTGGAAACATTCTCTTTTAAATGCCAATAGTTTAATGTATTTGAAGGAACAGTCTTTGCCCATTTTTATCCTAAGTGTGTGATTTAAAACAGACAGTTTAATAATAACACTGTTCTTCAGAACTAAAAATGAAAATTAATACATTACAGAATTAGTAAAGCTAAAAGCAAAACAAACTTAAGTACCATCTGGGAAGGTTTGTATCTGTTCATTATCCCCAATGGACATTTAGGTAAGGAAAGCAAAATGCAGCCTATAAAAAAGCAGTTGTAGTTCAGCAGAGTATTATCTTATTTCTCAAAAAAGAAAAGAACAACCTCGTAATGTGCTAATCAGAAAACTATGGTATTAAAGATAATCTTGAAAAGGGAGGCTGTGGTGCAAAATTTAAGTTTTCGAAAATGCTCTCTCAGTGTCTTTCATACTCCGAGCTTCTATTTTGGCAAGCTTAGGAAAGCACAAGCTACTAAAAACTGGCATAAATAATGACAAAAACTTAGATCTGCTCAAAATTTCTTTTCATCACAATGTCTAAAACATAGAAGAAAAGAACATTCCTCAATATCCTACAGGAATAAAATTCTCCACTAAAGCAAACAAAAAAACATTTCCGTAATTATTTTCAGTGGAGATAAAACCTTTAAACTTTATAGATAATAAAGCAGCGAAAAATTAATCTCAGCTACTGTAATTTTTCAGCAGGACTACTCCTTCTGCAGATGAGTAGACATTAGGAGAAGTTCCCTCCATTCTTGCCAACTGCATCCTTCAAGCTAAAATTATCACCATTATGACCAAAACCAAACATCTGTCCTAAAATGCTAATTCACTCTGGTGATTTATTATTCACTAAGTATGCACTTCGACTCTGTTGAAGAAAAGCAAATTAAAAACCTCAAAGTAATCAAACTTTCTTGGACTGTTTAGTAATTGATAATATTACTTATCTTGTCATCTCCTCAAGGTGACCAAGAAACTAGAGCAGGGACTCATCTTTGCATTGTGATTTTAAGAGTCTCTAGGATACATGACACAATTAATTCCAGTTCTATGGAAAATTGCATCTTACTTGAAGAAAGTCTTTGGGGGAAAAAAAATTCACATACTTCTAGTTCATATCTGTCTTATTTTCTAGCATCTTCTGGCTTCAGTACTTACGAAAAAGGCAAGTAACTTTTCTGCAACTCAGTCTTTACTTACAAGCGAGGAAGCTCAGCACTATAAAGTAAAGGGTAGGAATATTATATTTACACTGACTGCAGATGAGAAAAAGAAAGATGCTTACAATCAAGGGCAAGCACCAAAGGCAGGACAAGAAGGAAGTGGGATAAACTATTTAGGACAATGTAGTACTGGCTAATTAGAAGTCGAGAAAAATAGTTTAAAAATGTTGAGAACACCATTTCCATAGCAAAGAAACAGAAAGTGTTGCCAAATAGTTTCGTTTCATATCAAAAAAATCAAATAAAGCACCAAAATCAAGAGGACAGTTTACTCACCATGACAGAATCTATCTTAAACTTCTGCTAAAAACCAGTGAGCTGACAGCTGGTATCAAGCATGAAGAAGTATCATGGCAACAATCCAGTCAAGACAGGATGAGAAAAAAATGTTTTTCATACAAGCCAAATAGACACTCAACTGCTGCCTAATCTAACCTACCTTAATCCACCCTTGATCAGATCCAGTCAACAGCTGCATATACCCCTGCAATACTATTAAAGCAAGCAATATTACCATTATCCCAAAGGAAATAGATAAAATAGATAAATAATAGATAAAAATATACTGTGGTTATTAATCAATTTCCCCTTG